ATCACGATTGGAATGATACTGAATTCAGGAATGTGACCCGAGAGGATGAGGAAACGATTCAGGCAGCGTTGGATAATGTTGAAGCTAAGGCTGGGAACAGTGATTGGACTGTAAAATTGGGTATTAACCTTTCTTACAGTGCTATTCTCAGTCGCTCTCCTCTGTACAGTAAACAAATGCCTTACAACTCCGTCATATACAATGCATTCGGTCGCAGCTCTCCAGCAAAAAGCTCACCCTTGAAACCCGAAATCTTTGGTAGAAGATCTTCCAGACAGAGGAAATATGTTGTTGGAAAATGGTGTGGTAAGGTTTGGATGTCGCATCAGGTACAATTGTCTAACCTGAATCCATACTCATTCAGACATTAGTACACTTCTGTTTCTGCTTGGTTTGGTTCAATATTCAGACTGCTTTTTCTTTTCTTTCTTCAGGTGCATCCCTTTTTGCTGGAGCAGGACTTAGAGGGGGAAGAATCTGAAAGAAGTTGTCATCTCCGAGCTGCTATGGATGAGGATGCCGCTGGAAAGAGATTTTTTCCTAATAATGTTTCTAGAGATGCAACAACAATGTTTGGAAGAAAGTACTGTAGGAAGAGAAAGGTCAGGGCAAAGACTGTGCCACGCAAGAAGCTTACTTCTTTTAAGAGGGAAGATGGAGTTTCTGATGACACATCAGAAGATCATTCTTATAAGCAGCAATGGAGGGCTTCCGGGAATGAGGAAGAGTCTTATTTTGAGACAGGGAATACAGTTTCTGGTGATTCGTCAAATCAAATGTCTGATCAGCAGCTCAAGGGAATTCGTCGACACAGGGGTGTTAAAGAATTTGAGTCCAATGATGAGGTTTCAGATCGTTCACTTGGAGAAGAATATGCTGTAAGGGAACGTGCAATTTCAGAGAGCTCAACGGAGAATAGCTTTCAGCTATATGGACATTCAATCGACGATAATGCTTTGGAGGGCTCTTTATATGGTCATGATGATAATAAACTCTACAAGCACCCTAAGGGTCTTCCAAGGAGCAAACAGACTAATGTGTTTAGGAATCCGGTTTCATATGATTCAGAGGAAAATGATGTTTATCAGCAAAGGGGAAATATTCAAGCTAGTCGAATAGGTGGTGAGTATGAGTCAGAAGAGGATTCTCTGGAGGAAGAGGACTTTTGCAGTACAAGGAAAAGACAAACAAGGTCTACAGCTAAACGAAAAGTAAAAACCGAGATAGTTCAGAGTCCGAGAGAGACGAATAAAGAATTCGATTCATACATGGAAGGACCTAGCACACGGCTTAGGGTGAAAATCCCAAAGCCCTCAAGAGTGTCTTCAGAAACAAAAGCAAAGAAAATTGGTAAGAAAGGAAGTCGTAATGCTTCCTTCTCCAGAGTTGCAACTGAAGAAGATGTGGAGGAAGAAGAAGAAGAAGAAGAAAAAGAGAATGAGGAAGAGGAATGTGCGGCGTACCAATGTGACATGGAGGGTTGCACAATGAGTTTTAGTTCGGAAAAACAGTTGACATTGCATAAAAGAAACATCTGCCCTGTTAAAGGCTGTGGTAAAAACTTCTTCTCACACAAGTATTTGGTTCAACACCAGCGAGTTCACTCAGACGACCGTCCTCTGAAATGTCCATGGAAGGGCTGTAACATGACGTTTAAGTGGGCTTGGTCTAGAACTGAGCACATAAGAGTTCACACAGGCGCTAGGCCTTACGTTTGCGCCGAACCGGGTTGTGGTCAAACATTCAGATTCGTCTCTGACTTCAGCCGGCACAAACGAAAAACCGGTCATTCAGTTAAAAAGACCAAGAAAAGGTGACTGACTTAGTCCTTAAATCATGAAGAGATCAATCCATTGTTGCTGCATAACAGATTCTCCCTTTGTTGTATTCTTTACTATATCTTTGATAAATAAAGGAGCTGCTTGTACAATTAGAAAGTTAAGGTCTGTAATCAAGAAAATCTTATATGATAAGGACTTGATTGCAAATTTAGGGAAATATCTGAAACGCATAATCTTAAGTTAAAACTGTGTGCATGTAAACTATTGGAACTTGTCAACAAATTAAAGCAACGGTTTCTTTGGGAATTCTCATTCGTGACGCTATAAACGACAAATGTTATAAAAGTATCCATAAAGGAAACAACTTTATTCTTCTTCTTCTTCTTCTTTCAACCCTCTGATCTTCTTCAATTACCTCCCTGAAATTAGGGTTTTGGTAATGTGATTTGTAAGAAGACAAAGAAAAATGGTCAATTCCGAGGAAACTGCAGATGGGTTTGAGCCAAAACCTGTTTCTCAATCTTATTCTGGTGATTCATCTGCTGATCGATCTCTTTCTGATCTCAATAACGCAGCGGAGGACTTGAGTGATAAGCTTAAGAATGTGGGTTTGGATGAAGTTACGAAAGAGAAAAGTGAGACGATTGTGAGTGTCTCTGAGAGTAATGGAGGTTTAGATTCGAATGTAGTAGTCACCAGCAATCAGGAAGAAGAAGAAGAAGAAGATGGAGATGATTATGGTGATGGTTGGAGCGAGAACGAGAGTGAGATGAGAGAAACTGTGTATCCAGTGAGGCCAGGAGCAGAGGATTGTTCTTTTTATATGAGAACAGGGAGCTGCAAATTCGGATCCAGTTGCAAATTCAATCATCCTCTTGCCAGAAAAATCCAAGTAAACTTTACTTCTTACACTTTCTCAATGTTGTTTAGGTGGCTGATGAGATTATTTTCCCCATTCTTGCACGTTTGCTTCTGACAAGGACATTGGTTCTTAATTGTGTTTTTTATTGATGATCTTAGGGAAGATTTGTTTATAAAAGAAACCATTTTTAAATCAGTGGCACATGCGTTTAGAGAAGTTTTGCTTTGTATGTACTTCATTGCTAGACCAAAGGACAAAGCTTTAATATGTTGCTTTAGTAGAAGAATCATATAAGTTTAAATGAAAAAAAAAAAAACTAAACTTTGTTTTTTTCGTTTTCTAATGTTTCATTGTTTTGAAGATTGCTAGGGATAATAAAGTGAGAGAAAAGGAAGAAGATGGTGGTAAATTGGGACTGATTGATTGCAAGGTTAATTTTACTTCATTTTTTAACCTTGTTACATACCCTCTTCGTGTATTAGTCGATTGTTTTATGAAGTTGCATTCTATGATATTGATCTGCATTGGGAATTGGCAAAGCTTTTTATAGTTCATGCTCTTACTGATTACCAGTTCATGTGCTCCATTTTCTTGCATGAGGTTTTACAGTATTACTTTAGGACTGGAGGTTGCAAATATGGAGAAACTTGTAGATTCAACCATACCTTACCAAAGTCTTGTCTGGCCTCAGCACCCGAGCTTAACTTCCTTGGCCTTCCTATCAGACCGGTATTGCCATTTAGTTGATATTTATTCGCTAGTTTTTGACATTCTGTTGCTACTCTTTTCAAAACTATATAATGTTGTTAACCATCGGTAGGGAGAAGTAGAATGCCCTTACTATATGCGCAATGGCTCCTGCAAATTTGGAGCTGAGTGCAAATTTAATCATCCTGATCCTACAACCATCGGAGGAACCGACTCCCTATCATTTCATGGTAATAATGGTGTATCCATTGGAACATTTTCTCCAAAGTCCGCATTCCAAGCAAGTTCAACTTCCTGGACTTCACCAAGGCATGTGAATGGTACATCTCCTTTTATTCCAGTCATGTTGTCACAAACTCATGGAGTTCCATCTCAAACTCCGGAATGGAATGGCTATCAGGTAGTATGTACTTCAGCTCTGGATCTTAATAATATCGATTTCTATTCGAATTATCTATGATATTGATGGCTTTATCTTGTATTTCGTATTTATCTAGGCTTCTGTGTATTCATCTGAAAGGGGTCTGTTTTCTCCTTCCACCACATACCTTATGAACAATTTATCAGCTGAAACAAGTATGTTGTCACAATACCGACATCAAATGCCTGCTGAAGAATTTCCAGAACGCCCAGACCAACCTGATTGCAGTTATTATATGAAAACTGGGGACTGTAAGTTCAAATTCAATTGCAAATACCATCATCCTAAGAATAGATTGCCGAAGCTGCCTCCTTATGCTCTCAATGACAAGGGTTTACCCCTTAGACCTGTAAGTTCGTTTTTTACCTTCTGTTGTCTGTTCATGTGTGCTAGTAAAAGTTGCAGGCTTTTTATTGATTCTTGAATGTTAGCTGAACTCTTTGACTCTTGGCATAGCCCTAAATTACATAGTGAATCAATATAGAAGTGACTCGATATGAAATGTTTAAAATAGAAGTCCCTCCGGGTTTTGACTGATTGCTTGACTGAAATCCAGGATCAAAACATCTGCACATATTACAGTCGGTATGGCATCTGCAAATTCGGTCCAGCTTGTAGATTCGACCATTCCGTCCAGCCGCCATATTCAACAGAAAGCTCCCAGGCCATTGTAGAACCTCCTCAGGTCAGTGCAAATGGGAATGAAAGTGACGGTTGGAATTGACAACCAAACATTCAGGAGCTGACATAATTGTTACCTTTTGTCTCTAGCTATCATGGGTTTGTAATTTCTTTACAAAACTTTTAGTTAAATTATACTCTCGAAACAATATCTATGTGGCAAGCCTATCCTCAATGCTTTTGACAAGTTTGCACCACTGAACTTTGTAATCTGTAACTACCCTTTGACTCTTGAGGTTAAATGGAGCCTGCCCTGTTTTTTTCATTTGTTTACTTGTCTGAAACCTAAATCCTCAATTTCACCCTGGTTGGTTCATATTGGATGTGATAAGAGCTAAACCCTAGAACAGAGTTACTCGATTCCAGATTCAGCTGCTGAAACCGCAATTAGACTTGAAGTTTTTGAATGTTTGTTTTGTCTCAAGGTGTTTTCCCGGGTTTTGAAGCAGCTTTCGCAGGCTGCAAGTAATCGTATAATATGTCGATTATGCATTATAACATGTCGACAAAAGACATGTCTCAATCTTTATATACTTATGAAGCTAAGAAGCAGCAAGAATAACGTATATTCATATACCCAAATGTGGCCAAAACAAAGAGGAAAAGAGAAACTCAACTAGCAAGAAGAAGAAGAAGAAGACAAGTTTGCAACAACATCTTAGACGATCACAGGTTTGGTCGCTATAATCTGTTGGAGATTACTCGGCTACGCGATTCTGCTTGCTTATCGTTGGTTTTTTCAGAACAGAGCCACTACCAGAGTTAACGAAAACAAAGCCATTTCTTCTGCACAACCAAAGAACAAAAGCAAGTTAAGCAGAGAAAAACCTAAGATCCGTGAGTAGTCTACTCTTATCAAGATCGAGTTCTATCTGGAAAAGAAAGTACCTTTGATCGTGGGGTTTGGGAATTACGGTTGTGATGGTTGTTGTTGTTCTTTGGAGGTTCTTCATTTCTTGGAGGTGAAACAATACTCTCAGGTCCTGCGACAGCGGTTTTCTTGGTCTTCTTGTCATCACGAGCTTTATTGAAAATGACAGTGAATCCTTCAGCCGAGGCAGGATTAGTCGCATCCCATTCCCCAAATTTTGGCAATGGTCTCGCTCTATTTCCCTACACACCACCAAAAATAAACAGAATTGTTCATCATAAAAAAATGCAGAATTCTCAAACATTGACAATGGTAATAATAGCCTCTCTAGCTCCTTCTGGGCCAAAGTTTGAGACTTTTTTTTCAAGATAAGAGATTTGGAAAATTGTATGAAAGGAGGGAAATTTTGAAATCATATCAACAAATGCAAGATGAATCAAAAATTAGATATAAGAGATGGGTAATTGTTCTTACCGTTGCCATTGTTGGAATTAGAACAGAGGATTTCGAATACGATACGAGGAAATGTCCAAAATCTAGAGAAAGAGAGAGCTTGATGATGAGGAGGATGATGATGATGATCTGGGAAAAGGAGAGATGAAATTGTAATATAGAAGAAGAGGAGGAGGAAGAGAGAGGAGAAGAGGTCGTCGTTGAAAACAACACAAATCTCCTTTTTTCATATTCTCACCTTTCTTCCTTCCCGCGGCTTTCCCAACAGAAATACCTAAACTTAATTAGTAAATTCATATTAAAAAAAAAGTCATTGAGAGCAAAAGACTAAAAACGTGGATCATGCCAAAAGTTCTTGCCTTTTCCACCTAACCCTCTTCAGTATTTTTATCTTTTTTTTATTTTTTTTGCTAATGTTATATTGCCTCTAATTAGAGACAAAATTATTCTAAATATAAATATTTTGTGGTTTAACCAAGTGGATTTATATATTTATGTGAAAAAGAAAAAAGAATACATAAGCTTTCGTATTAACCATGCCAAAATTTTTGAGTTTGGACATTTCTCTTGCTATTGTATAATAATAATAATTCTAGGCTCTAGCTCCCTTTTTCTTTTAAACTATAGAATATATTCAACCTAGGTCTTCTGTGTCATGTCAGGTGTGCTGATATTACATGATTATTACTATACTGCGTTCTAGGATGGTTGGCGTTCAATTTCGTCAACTAATTTGTATTGTCGACTTTTCAACTTAAAACAAAGACGCCAAATAGTGATCGTCAAATACTAACAGCGTAATTGAGGCCTAGAAGCAAAGTTTCCAAAAGACCAAACCATACTTTAAAGACCGAGGTATCATTGGGTCATGTTTCTCTAGGCCCATGATGAGATTTATTCAATGTATATTTTAATTTTTTAAGTTTTGCTGCCTCGCCACATTTTCGCAAACACAATGGTTAATGTATATTGCAATTCGCAATAGTTAAATAAATAATCATAAAACAAAATAGCTATCAATTGTAGATACAAATGAAACTTAATATAAGTGAAAATTCATAAGAGCACCCACGTAGTGAATGTGTTAGTATGGGTGTAAATATTTTTTTAGTATTATAATTAGAGAGAGAAAAAAAAGAGAGATAGAGACAAGAAAATTTTTTCCCTTTTTATAATGTCCACACCCGAATGCAATTCTACATGTAGGTGCAGTGCCGGTCCGGTGAAATCCGGGGCCAAATACGAAAAAAAAAATTAGGGTTTTTCTAAAAAGTAGAAACTGCTAAAAAAAAATTTTTTGCTAATTATGGGGCATTTATAATTTTTATTTAACAATTTTTCTTAAATTTTAAAGATTTTTTGCTAATTATGAGGCCTTTTTGCTAATTGTGAAGTCTTTTTTGTTAATTTTTGAGGCCTCTTTTACTATTTTGAAGCCTTTTTTGTTAATTTTTGAGGCCTCTTTTACTAATTTTGAAGCCTATTTCATAATTTTGGGGCCTCAAAAAAAAAAAAAAAAAAATTCTTCACAAAATGGACCTCGGAAATTTGAGGCCCAATACAAATGATTCACCAAAATGGGTGAAGGGCCGGGCCTGTGTGGGTGTTGTTGAAAAGCTACTTTTTGCATTATTTTTCTATAGTTGAAAAGCTACTTTTTGCATTATTTTTCTATATTAAATTACATATACACGACGCCTACATGCGCCACTGCGTTTGGTCTAAGTAACTGATAAAATTTATATGTTTTTTCTTCAGTTTTACTGTATTTTATGAAATATTGTTACTGAATATCAAAATTAAGTTTTAAATGAAGTTGTGAAAAAAACCATTAATTGTTAAAATGTTCACTTTTGTTATTTATTTAGTAGACTATCAATTTGGAATAAATCAAGAATAACCCAAAATCAAAATCCTAACTTATAATCATATGTATGTATAATTTTTTTTAAAAAAATAAAAATTAAATCAAGGCTCAACTTCTACGATCGAATTAAATAAAATAAAACTAATATATAACATGAAATTTGGATTCAGAAAACATGTTTCACAATCGATTTTGAACCCTTGTTTTTGAATGGAAAAAAATAAACAAGTCCGAGTTAAATAAGAAAAAGATGTGCCAACTTCCAAGTAAACTAACATGAAGAAGCTAACCCATTTATGTCGGTCATGAATCATGATTAATGAATGATATGCTGATATCACTACTTCACTTGATTATTTTCTTGTAAGTCTTTTTCATATTAGTTTTTTGTTAAAAGTCGTTTTCATATTATTTTGTATTGAAAACAAATTAGTGTAAACATATGATATTTATTATAATTTAAAACATTTCATATTTTGAAAAAATTATGTCGACTTACATAATTGAAAAAGCAATACTCATATTGTGAAAAGGAAGAAGCAATTACTACTTGATGACCCCCTCGAGAATGTAAAACACTGCATGATCTAACACCGACAGTGGTCTTAAATGCACCATGTTGTTTCCAATCTGAATGGGTTCGAAACTCCATACTTACAAGTTAAGAAACTGGCCAAAGTGTCCATTACTGATTACACTTAAAAGATTTAAAAAGACAAGGAGTAAGGAACCTCTCTAGATTTTCTCCCTTTGACGTAGCTATTATTACGATCATAATTATTCAGCTAACAGCTTCAACTTTTTTAAAAAAATTGTAACAAGATTAATGGGTTCACATGTAATGTACACACTGCGCCAACACGTGTAGATTATGAACCCTTATGGTCGCTAAGAAAATAAATTATGACAGCACAATGTAACCGACTAAAGAGGCAAAAAAAATGGTCCAACATATGGTTTCTTATATGATTAATATAGCATCAACAAAAAGATAGATGATATTGGAATTGTCTTTGATACAATTATAGGTATGTAACTTCACAAAATAAAACACCACATATATGTGAAAATGACAATGAATTAATTATTCAGTTTTGAAAATAAATTTGTTGTTAATATTAGTTAGATGCTACGAGTTCTTAAGGCTTAGCTACTTTAGAGAAAACGAACAAAATAAGATAAACGATTTTATGTGATCAAAATGGCACGATACTGAATTCAAAAAAAAATGTTAAAAAATTTGCAATTGAGAGATTATAAGTAACTTAGTAGTATTTGTTTAACAATTCAAACCCACACTTATTTCATCAAGTGTATACTCTAAAGTTCTAATGACATACAATAAATCTTTCCATCAAGTGAAACATTTTCTAATTAAGAAACTAATTTGTTAAACATTGGAAACTTGACTATTTTTAAACCGACCATGGAGTACATTTTCAATTGCCGAACTTCTTAGCTGCCGCACGTTGCAAGAATTCTCTCACGAGAGATGGCTGAGACATTTAATGGCTAACTAAAAATCTCTCCACAGCCAACTACATTAACCTCCTCCATGCATGCCTCACCTACTTTATCTTCTAGTTACTTCGTTTATATTTTATGATTTTATCCAATATGTTTTCCCATATTACTGTATTCATGTAACAGCTATAATCATTCATATTGTATTATTGCATATATATATAACTGAACGCTAGGTCCAAACCTAAGTAAAAGTGATGACACTTTTTAACATGCATTAATAAGGAAATTCTTCATTATGTGTTGGGTGATATCAAACAAAACAAAAATTACTAGTTAAAAGTTAAAACTTATCTTTACATTTCAGAGAAATAAATTTTTTGATTACCTTGTTAAATATTAATTACAGATTTTACAAGTGCAAACAAAATTTTATTTTTGTTTACATTTAGTTTCGGTGCAAATGGTTGTGCTATTTTATTTCAGTGATTTAATTCATCGAGTCCAGTTTATTCCTCTAAGTGACAACCATTTGTACATTTTTTAAATTGAATAAAATACTAAAACATTATGGTTTTAAAATACAATTTAACATACATAAACAAAAAGAAACTTAAAAATCAATCATAGTAGAAGGTATACATGCAGAGGCGGAGCTAAATGAACGGCAAGGGGGTCGACTGACCCCCATAATTTTTATAAAAAAAAATAATTTGCAAAGCTTATTTAGTGAGAATATTTAAATTATTTAGCTTAAATATGTAATATGATCCCTATGTTCCTAGTTCATATTCTTCATTTGCATCCCTAATTAATTTTTGACTAATTTTTTATTGCTATAATACTTATAGCTTGATCCTATTTTATATAGGTTTTCATCTTTTCCTCTTTACTTAAATACTATTTTTCTTCTTCTCTTTTTCTATTTGTGAAAGTTAAATTCTTAAAATTACTTTAAATTTTATTTTAGTTTAACAAATAATATTATTGTAATATATGACCCCATGAGATATATTTCTGGCTCTGCCACTGTATACATGTATACACCACATAAACAAATTATCCTCCACAAAAATACAATCATCCAATTCCCAAATATTTGTGAGTTTTAAGCTTACACATGTTTTTTTTTTTGTTGTTGTTAAAAATACAATCACCACAATTTTCTTCCAAGGCTCTAAATGGTTAACTCTGGATTTAGCGGGGCCAATAAAACTTACCAAAAACGACAACATATTTTGTGGTACGAAATAAACTATTTAAAGCTTAAATAATTCTTCACAACATTAAATTAAATTTTATTTTAAACTTTGGATCTCATCTGCAAAAATTCGGTAAATTAAAATACACAAGTTAATAAATTATATACTTTTTTCTTTCTCAATTTTATTCTCACCACTACATATATAACACACGACCATTTTCATGAAAGCTCAAATTTTAAATCTCACTTCCTTCCAAAATGTCATCCTCCGTCTCTCTCCTCCTCACAACCGCCGTCTCCGTCACAATCCTCCTCTTCTCCACCATCTCCACCGCGGCGACAATTCCAAACATCCACCATCCATTCAACAAAATCTACGCCTTCGGCGATTCTTTCACAGACACCGGAAACTCACGCTCCGGCGAAGGACCAGCCGGATTCGGACACTTGTCAAGTCCTCCGTACGGCATGACTTTCTTCCGGCGACCAACAAACCGTTACTCCGACGGTCGTCTCACCATCGACTTCGTGGCAGAGTCAATGAATTTACCGTTTCTACCACCGTACCTCAGCCTCAAATCCACTAACGGTAACGGCACAGCTACGGATACTCACGGCGTTAATTTCGCCGTCTCTGGAGCAACGGTGATTAAACACGCGTTTTTCGTGAAGAACAATCTATCGCTTGATATGACTCCTCAGTCTATAGAAACAGAGCTTGCTTGGTTTGAGAAGTATTTAGAGACACTTGGAACGAATCAGAAGGTTTCTTTGTTTAAAGATTCTCTCTTTTGGATTGGAGAAATCGGAGTGAATGATTATGCG